GAGGAGGAGGAGGTCAAAGAAAGAAGGTAATGACAGTTGAGGATTTGAGAATGATGGATTTGTTTTTGAGTGTTTGTGGTGTATTTTTGTTTTCTGAATTTGTATTGTTTGATGTGGTTTGTTTTTTCTTTTTTTTTCTTTCTCTTTTTCTGCTTTGTTCTCTTTTGTAATTCTAAAAATTTTCAATAAATATCATTAAAAAAAAAAAAAAAGCAAGCTCCGAGGACAGTGAGAGGGGCCAGCCTCTATGGAGGGGGCTTGCAAACCAACAAGAGGTGGGTCAGCAATAAATCACAGTAAGTGAAGTTAACTCTTTGTTAGAAGAAACAAGGGCAGCTCAGTAGTGCCAGGCCTAATGATCGCAGCAACTCTGCCTGGTAGATCTTGCCCCTATGAGGCAGTTGTGGCGACTAAAGGTCCTCGCCTTCCCACAGCTGCCTAAGCTCCCTCTTCTTCCAGGTCCTTCCCAAGCAATCTGAGACTCCGCCAGCACATCTGTCTCTGCTCCTCCCTCTTCATCCTTCTTCTGGTTCTGGGAGATCAAGGAGGAGGGGAGCTTGTTGCAGCAGGAGGGGGAGACACCCTGGCTTCTTCACCAGCCTGACTCATCTCTGCCTCTTGGCCTCCCTTCTCTCCTGATTATGTTTCTGCTTCTGGACTTCTTTCTGCCACAGACTGCCTCTCTCACTAAGCCCTGTTAGGTCTTCAGCTACCAACATCTCTCAGTCTCCTCCCTCTTCTCTCTCTGACCACTCATCCCTCCACCAATCCCTGGGCTCTGAGTCTTTTTCCCTTGTGGGTTGCCCAGCTAGTGTCTCCCACCATTCTTCTGCGTCCAGCCAGTCCATGACAGTGGGCTTAGAAACTTGTAAATTCAAATTTGGGACTTCTCAACTCATGTAAAAAATTAGCAGATACATGGTGTTTTCATACCTGAAAGGTACATAGCATTTTGTACCCTGGGTATATTGCATGTACACACAGCAGGATCTTAAGACTAGCCCCTTGTGTTCTTCTCACATGTTGCTAAGCAAACCACAGGTATTTTTAAATTTTATTTATTTGAAGATACATGATCCCGACCTCCCAGTTTGTTTCCATTATTCACAGTGGCTTGCAATGATCAAGACCATCCATAATGAAACAATATAAAAACCAAACAAAGAGAAACAGATTAAGTAGATATAAAAACAGGATCTACACAGGCTTTAACACCTGAGAGTCCAGCATGACTAAAGCTTGCTGGAACCGACAGGAAGCATCGAGGGAGGGTGCCAAATGAATTTCATTTGGCAAAGCACTGTATTCCAAAATCTAGGCTCAGGCAAATGTGGCTCTCCCACAGGCAGAGCACGGAGAAATTTGCTTAATAACGGTTATCAACAAACCACTTAAGCACGTGCCTTCTACTCATGCCTGGTTTATTTGGCAGCCTAACTGCAGGAGAATTTGGGTCACCTCCAGACTGTCCGTAGTTTGCAGGAGAGATTGAAGCACATAGCGAAAATTTAGGTGTACACAATTAAAATAGAGCGAAGCCCTGGTGCAACAAATCCCCATTTTCTTCTTCATCTTTAAAAACAAACAAACAAACTCTGGACAATTTGCAGGTAGGAAAGTGATGGATATATGCACTGAAATGTGTGGAATGAAGAAATGATTAATGGGAAGGTGTCTCACTACCACACAAGCAAATCAGGACGAATAATGTTGTTGTTTAGTCATTTAGTCATGTCTGACTCTTCGTGACCCCATGGACCAGAGCACACCAGGCACTCCTGTCTTCCACTGTCTCCCGCAGTTTGGTCAAACTCATGCTGGTAGCTTCGAGAACACTGTCCAACCATCTCATCCTCTGTTGCCCCCTTCTCCTTGTGCCCTCCATCTTTCCCAACATTGGGGTCTTTTCCAGGGAGTCTTCTCTTCTCATGAGGTGGGCAAAGTATTGGAGTCTCAGCTTCAGGATCTGTCCTTCCAGTGAGCACTCAGGGCTGATTTCCTTAAGAATGGATAGGTTTGATCTTCTTGCAGTCCATGGGACTCTCAAGAGTCTCCTCCAGCACCATAATTCAAAAGCATCAATTCTTTGGCGATCAGCCTTCTTTATGGTCCAGCTCTCACTTCCATACATCACTACTGGGAAAACCATAGCTTTAATCCTTGAATAACCTCCCAACAAACAACGCAGAATGAATGCTCAATAAACACTAGACAGGACATAGCCTAACCTCTGTGTAAGCTTTGTGCAAGGAAATTGGGGTGAATGCTCAATATACAGGATATCTGGAGGAACCCTTATTTTGTTTAGTTATGGTGACTCTTTGCCACCATAAGTTTTGTTGCTACTGTGCGAGATGAGCAGGGAGTTGAATTGACCTGGGTTGCATGCACATCACACATTTAAAGCACATGGCTTCCCCCACTCCCAAGAACCTTGGGAACAGCGGTTTGCCTCTCACAAAATTATGGTTCCCAGCACCCTTAGCAAGCTATAGTTCCCAGGATTCTGTGGGAGAAGTCATGTACATCAGTTGTGTGCAACCTTGCAGTAGAATCTGTCAAGAAATAAATGGGGGATAAATGAATGGAAGAGAAACTCATCTGGATAATGTGCAAAGGAACTGAACAATTTATCTGGGGAGATTTGGGGGGAGATTTGGTTAGCTTGTCTTCTGTGACATCTAAATGTATATCTAGACATATAAGTTAGCATATGGAACTGTGTGTTTAGTGGCTGGTACCTCAAACCTTTTACATACCTAACAACGCCCCTGGCTTGAGGCAGAATTCTGTCCCTGTTTCTAAAATTTATTTCTTCTTAGAAGTCTGAAGGATTTATTATCCTGCCTTTGTGATCCTCTTGGCTGGGAAAAGAGGGGATCTAGTCTCTCCTTTGGCTTGGAGCTAGCTGATATATCTATGTATATTTTTAAAGCTGTATACCATGTAAAGATTGTAGATTTCAGCATTGCAAAGCGGATGGTGTCGGATGAACCTGGCCAACTAGTCAACTTGCTCTATTTTTAACTCAAGAGAATGCATATGATATTTGCAAATGAAACAAGATGAGTGGCTGGATAAGTGAAAAGGGTTGGATGTATTCAGTTTCTTCAGATTTAAGCAGAAACGGTTGACTTCCCTTTGTGGTCTCAGCAACAAACAATAAAATCTGCAAGGCTTTCATGATGGATGGATGTAGGTTTTGTTGCGAAATTACTTGCTATATTCCCTGAAAAGACTTCTCGGGGGGGCGGGGGGGATTAGGGGAAAAAGTGACACAGTATGCAATGCACACAGCAGTTTAAAATGGATTCAATGCATCTCATGTGTGCAAGGTGCGTTGTTTAGCTTTTGCACACTCTACACGACGATGTCATCATCCAAGTGGCATCCCCCACTCTCTCCCCATTAAGATTTATTTATTTATTTCATAAAATTTATATGCTGCCTGGTTGTAAAAATAAACCTCAAAGCAGTCTACAAAACAATTCATGAAACAATTAAATTACTGGTGAAATCAATTAAATTACTGGTTAAAAACAATTAAAACAACTATTTAAAATATAGAAAATAAAATCAGCAATGAACTAAAAAAAGGGCACCAGCATTCTTGGTATCCGGGTAGGGTTATTGTTAGGTACTGAGCTGAATCCCAGAACAATAGGATCCAGAATGCAGCAGTCTGATTGGTCCGCAGGAGCCACCCAATCCAGCTCCAGGTGGAAGTGAATCAGCGACCTGATTGGCCTGCAGGAGCAGCCAATCAGGCTTCTCGAGGAAGTGAATCCGCAACCTGATTGGCCTAGAGGAGCAGCCCGGAATTAGCCAATCACGTGGGGCCCATTGTGTAAATAATGTATATACAGTGGTACCTCGGGTTAAGTACTTAATTTGTTCTGGAGGTCCGTTCTTAACCTGAAACTGTTCTTAACCTGTAGCACCACTTTAGCTAATGGGGCCTCCTGTTGACGCCGTGCCGCCAGAGCCCAATTTCTGTTCTTATCCTGAAGCAAAGTTCTTAACCTGAAGCATTATTTCTGGGTTAGTGGAGTGTGTAACCCGAAGTGTTTGTAACCCAAGGTACCACTGTATAGCTAGACGTTTTGGGAAATGTTTCATCATTGCTACTATGAGCTGAATAAAGAGCTTGAAATTCATCCCCGACTCTTCGTATCTTTCAGTTATCTAAACAAAAAGGTTTTTAGCCTTCACTTAAAAGAATGCAGTGAAGGTACCTGCCTGATATCAACAGGCAGGGAGTCTCAAAGTGTAGGTGCTGCCACACTAAAAGATTGATTTTCCTACAAATGTTCCTGATATTGCTGGATGTTGGCAGATTCAGGACAGATAAAGAAAAGTAGTTTTTCACACAGCGCATAGTTAAACTACGGAGCTCTCTTCCACAGCAGGTATTGAGGGCCACCAACTTGGATGGCTTTAAAAGAGGATTAGACAAATTCCTGTAGGAGAAGGCTGTCAATGGCTACTAGCCATTATGGCTCTGCTCTGCCTCCACAGCTGGAGGAAGCCATGCTTCTGAATATTAGTTTTTGGAAACCACAGAAGTATACAGTGGTACCTCAGGTTACATACGCTTCAGGTTACATACGCTTCAGGTTACAGACTCTGCTAACCCAGAAATAGTACCTCAGGTTAAGAACTTTGCTTCAGGATGAGAACAGAAATTGTGCGGTGGCAGCGTGGCAGCAGCGGGAGGCCCCATTAGCTAAAGTGGTGCTTCAGGTTAAGAACAGTTTCAGGTTAAGAATGGACCCCCGGAACAAATTAAGTACGTAAGCAGAGGTACCACTGTACTCTCTTGGAGAATGAGTCTGCTGTTCATATATATCAGCTTTTGCCGATGTAGTGCTCTCAAGACAGGAATACAGGAAGCTTCCTTGTACTGAGTCAAGACCATTGGTTCATGTGGCTCAGAACTGCCTGTACTGACTGGAATTGGCTTTCTGGCATTCCAGACTGGGGACTCTCCCAGTCCTACTGGGAGCTGCTGGGGATTGAACCGGGGACCTTCTGTATACAAAGCAGATGCTTTCTACCATTGAGCTACAGCTTTTCCCAACATGTTTTGCCCAACAGCTCCCACCAGCTCGGCAAATTGGTGAAGACTAGAGTATATGGCATTTTCTTTACCACGGGGATAATTCTGTCATGTTCTATTCTCTCGATAACACCTTCACTTTTGTTTCATTGGCATGCAGTATTATTTCCTAAGGAGTGATGCTCCTTTGTGGTCCAAAGGCTCAGATGCGAAAGCTGAGGAAGAGCTATTATGATTGAACACCAGCCACAGCACATCAGCTGATAGTAGCGTATGACCTGCGTGCCTTTTTAAACACCCTTCCCTGCTGTGCTGCTTATACTGTAAATAGCACAAGTTGCAATCATTTGTTGCAGCTCCTGTCTCCTCCAATCATTATACAGTGGTACCTCGCAAGACGAATGCCTCGCAAGACAAAAAACTCGCAAGACGAAAGAGTTTTTTGGTTTTTTGAGTTGCTTCACGAGACGAATTTCCCTATGGGCTTGCTTCGCAAGACGGAAACGTCTTGCAAGTTTGTTTCCTTTTTCTTAAAACCGTTACAGTAATACAGGGTGCATTGCTTGAAGAGGTGCAGTTGCGACTTGACTTCGGGGAGCAACTCATAGCACGCGGTGTGGTAGTTTTTTTGAGGTTTTTGAAGATTTTTTTGAAAAAATAGAAACCGTGCTTCGCAAGACGAAAAAACTCGCAAGACGAAAAAACTTGCAGAACGAATTAATTTCATCTTGCGAGGCACCACTGTAAGGTCGGCGGTTCGAATCCCTGCAACGGGGTGAGCTCCCGTTGCTCAGTCCCTGCTCCTGCCAACCTAGCAGTTTGAAAGCATGTCAAAGTGCAAGTAGATAAATAGGTACCGCTCCGGCGGGAAGGTAAACGGCGTTTCCGTGCGCTGCTCTGGTTCACCAGTAGCGGCTTAGTCATGCTGGCCACATGACCTGGAAGCTGTACGCCGGCTCCCTCAGCCAATAAAGCAAGCCGCAACCCCAGAGTCGGCCATGACTGGACCTAATGGTCAGGGGTCCCTTTACCTTTACCTTTTTAAGGACGTCATCTTTCCCTCTTAAGATGTAATTTACTGTTTGTTTCTTTTTCTTTTTAACTGCATCCCTGTAAGAGTATTGTTACAAAAGTCGGGTGCCTCCCCCTCTTTCTGCTGAGTGGTGGCAGGAGCCCATGGGGTTCCAGGCACTCACTCCAGGGTCTGTGTTCCTTTGGAGAATTAAGACACGGCAGAGACTGTTGTGGCTTTAAGAAATATAGTTTATTCACCTATTTACACCTTCAGTCTGCATGGAGGGAATCCAGACCTTACAGCAAGCTCATTTCAAGAGGAGCTGGTCCCTCACAGCAGTGCAGTTGGCCTTCAGCTAACCTGCCCAAGATGGATCCCAGTCCTTCTTCCTGCTTCTTCTTCCCAGCAGCCCTAGCTCAAGACTCTCATTTCCTGTCACTTCATATCCAGTTCCCAGGCAACCTTCCAACCCCCCAGTCTCAGGGCAAGGGGGGAGGACAGTTCTCTTGCACTTACAATAATGGCCTTAAGTGGCCCTGTCTTGTTCCAGAATGGCCGTAGTTGGCCAGGTCATTTTGCATAGGCTAGCCCAGCAATTCCTTTGCAGCTTGTATTTCTCCCTTCACACCCCAAATAATCAAAATCCTACAATTTATTAATTTCTAGGGTTTAGGGGGAGTCCCTCAAATCTATAACAGTATACTGATGTGCTTGAAAGGCAGGTGCCAAACAATGTTTTGTGGTGGGTTTTGAGATGAGTTTCAATTTTTAAAGCATGGTGTGCAAAACTGAAATATACTCGGAGTCGAGTGTGGATTTCATGCTCTTTATTCAGCTCATAGTAGTGAGGAATGAAAGTTCCCCCAAAATATCTGCTTTATATACATTATTTACACAATGGGCCACACATGATTGGCTAATTCTGTGATTCTCCTGTAGGCCAATCAGGTTGCGGATTCACTTCCACCTGGAGCTAGATTGGGTGGCTCCTGCGGACCAATCATACTGCTGCACTCTGGACCCTATTGTTCTAGGACCAATCAGACTGCTGCCTTTTGGATCCTATTCAACTCAGTACATAACAAAAACGGAGAAGCCCGATATACATATATGTGTACGTAGGTATACGAGACGATATGGCCCCACCCACTGCTGGCATGTAGCCCTTTAGAAGTTAGCATTGAGGGAATGCAGCGCTCCAAGTTGAAAGGATTCCCCACCCCTTCAGGAAGACTAAGATCTTGTGCCAAAGACTTAATGAATAAGAAGATGGAAAGAAGAAACAGTCCCAGTAAAGGAAGATTGGCAACTAAAACTGATGGAATATGCAGAGATGGCAAAACTTGCTGGAGGAATAAGAGGTCAGGATGAAAGACTTTTTCTTAACAGAATGGGAAAAAATCATTGAATATATGAAGACAAATGGTAAATAATTTAAAAAGTTAGCTGGAAGCTCTGGGAATTGTAGCTCTGTGAGGGGAAGAGGGGCCTCCTGACAACTCTCAGCGACCTTAACAAACTGCAGCCCCCAGAACTCTTTTGGGGAAAGCCAGGATTATTTAAAGTGACACGATAGTACTTTAAATGTATGGCATTAATGTGGCCTAACTGGCCAGGCACCTGCCATGTTTTATCTCCTGGCACTGGACACTGGCCATTGCATTGTCGAAGATCAAGCATGGCAACTGCCCAGCGTCAATCAAAACCACATAGTGGCTCGGCTTGGGTCCCAAGACTGTGTTACTGTAAACCAGGTAAGCTGATCCAAGGGAGAAGGAGGAACTGGGGGTTGTGTTGCTGCCAGAGCCTGTATCACTAGGGTCCTTGGCGGTGGATTGCATTTGCTTGGGGGATGACGATGACAAGGTCCCAGGCAGGATGTCAGCAGTACGCCACACTCAACTGAAGCCAGGCCTTACCAAAGGACTGAACTTTTCTGATGGATTTCTGATGGAGCGGAAGTGACAAATGCACCAAGGCCACAGGTGGAAGGAGGGAGAGAAATTGGCACCAGCCGCAACACCGAACGAAAAAGAAGTCAACAAAGCAATTGTAATGACAGTGGATATGGGAGCTTTAAGCCCTTTCAGAAATGAGAATTCATCTCGTATTTTAATGCTAAGCCTGGCTTAAAGCATCCACAATGATCCCATTGTTTAAATACTTAAAGGATCAAGAGGGGGGGGCAGGAGGGGATGAAAAAGCAGCAGCAGGAAATGTCCATCCGACACACGGCTATGTTCGTTTTTCATGGCAATTGTCAAGAATACTATATGGGCTGCACTCAGTGGGGTTTTTTCTGGGGGTACGCATACCTCTAAACATTTTGTGAATCTTTGTACTTTTGTCCATTTACTGTATTTATTTTCCATGATTTGAACTATAAAATGGTGGTTTTCTTGAGTCAAAATGACAGTACCCCTAAACATCATCATCATCATCATCATCATCATCATTATTACAGTGGTACCTCAGGTTAAGTACTTAATTCGTTCCGGAGGTCCGTACTTAACCTGAAACTGTTCTTAACCTGAAGCACCACTTTAGCTAATGGGACCTCCCGCTGCCGCCACGCTGCCCAGGGCTTTTAAGTAACCCCCAGCAGCATTTCTGCAGCCTCATAGGGAGCAAGAGAACCCAGAGACTCCCCCCACCCCCATGACTTAACCTTGAAAAAGTCACGGCTCCTCCAAAGAGTCCTAGGATCTGTAGTTTGTAAGGGTGCCAAGAATTGTTAGGAGACCCCTATTCCCCTCCCAGAATGACAATTCCCAGAGTTTCCTGGAAAGAGGAATTTATCGTTAAAACCGCTCTGGAAATTGCCACTCAAATGGGGGCTTTCAGAACCCTTAACATACTGCAGTTCCCAGGATTCTTTGGGGGAAGTCATGACTGTTTAAGGGATGCGGGTGGCGCTGTGGGTTAAACCACAGAGCCTAGGGCTTGCCGATCAGAAGGTCAGCGGTTCGAATCCCCGCGACAGGGTGAGCTCCCGTTGTTCGGTCCCAGCTCCTGCCCACCTAGCAGTTTGAAAACATGTCCAAGTGCAAGTAGATAAATAGGTACCGCTCTGGCAGGAAGGTAAACGGCGTTTCCGTGCGCTGCTCTGGTTCGCCAGAAGCGGCTTAGTCGTGCTGGCCACATGACCCGGAAGCTGTACGCCGGCTCCCTCGGCCAATAAAGCGAGATGAGCACCGCAACCCCAGAGTCGGCCACGACTGGACCTAATGGTCAGGGGTCCCTTTACCTTTTATGACTGTTTAAAGTGGTACGATACTCCTTTAAATGTATAATACAGATAGGGCCCTTGTTTTTCTCCCACCCCCAAGCTATGCTACTTATTGTCTCATTCACTCTACTTGGCTCTCTTGCCCCACCCCAAACGTCTCTTTTTCGAACACTTGAAAATTGCAGAGGGCCCCCTAATGATTCCCCCCCCAACCTCTGCCTGTTGTAGCAGTTGAGAAGCTTGGTGCTTGATGCTGTATGAGTTTTAATTGTATTCCCATTGCATTTAAAAAAATTATTATACATTGTGTTTTATTGTATTCCGATATGAATGCCATAGGATTCCGACAGTAAAACAGCATAAGTAATAAAAAGAAGCGATAAAATTATAATTTAAATCCAATGTGAATAGATAAAGAGATGAAAGGGCCATCTCTCGCCGTCAACCACATATCCACAGACATGCTGTGGAGCACCTGAATGAAGCTCGTGCAAGTTCTGAACTTCAAGTGCAATACAGTGGTACCTCGGGTTACATACGCTTCAGGTTACATACCCTTCCGCTAACCCAGAAATAGTGCTTCAGGTTAAGAACTTTGCTTCTGGATGAGAACAGAAATCGTGCTCCGGCGTGCAGCAGTAGCAGGAGGCCCCAATAGCTCAAGTGGTGCTTCAGGTTAAGAACAGTTTCAGGTTAAGTATGGACCTCCGGAACGAATTAAGTCCTTAACCTGAGGTACCACTGTACAGTGGTACCTTGGTTCTCAAAGTTAAT